ATATTTTCCCATAGGGTTGGTTCCCTTTTCATTTTCCTGATGTTTTCTTTCACTGTGCAGAAGCTTCTTATTTTGATGAGGTCCCACTTGTTTATTCTTTCCTTTATGTCCCTTGCTTTAGGAGACATATCAGTGAAAAAATGGCTGCGTGGGATATCTGAGAGTTTCCCGCCAATGTTCTCTTCTAGGACTTTGATGGTGTTGCAACTTATATTTAAGTCTTTTATTCATCTTGAGTTTATTTTTGTGTATGGTGTCAGCTGAGGATCCAATTTAAATTTTTTGCATGTAGCCGTCCAGCTCTCACAACACCATTTGTTGAAGAGGCTATTATGACTCCATTTTATGCTTCTAATCCCTTTGTCAAATATTAGATTCCCATAAAGACCTGGGCTTATTTCTGGGCTTTCTATTCTGTTCCACTGGTCTATGGGTCTGTTCTTGTGCCAGTACCAGATTGTTTTGAGCATAGTGGCTTTGTAGTAGAGTTTGATGTCCGGTATTGTGATCCCTCCTACTTTGTGTTTCTTTTTCAAAATTGCTGAGGCTATTCGGGGTTGTTTATGGTTCCGTATAAATTTTTGAAATGTCTGTTCTATTTCTGTGAAATATATCTTTGGCATCTTAATAAGGATTGCATTGAATCTATGAATTGCTTTGGGTAGTATGGACATTTTGATGATGTTAATTTTTCCAATCCATGAGCACGGTATATGCTTCCATTGATTTGTGTCTTCCTTAATTTCTTGTTTCAATGTTGTATTGTTTTCTGCATACAGGTCTTTTACCTCTTTGGTTAAATTTATGCCTAGGTACTTTATTTTTCTTCTTGCTATATCAAATGGTATTTTTTTCCTGATTTCTCCTTCTATTTCATTGCTGGTGTACAAAAATGCCTTTGATTTCTGAATATTGACTTTGTATCCTGCTGTTTTGCCAAATTCACTTATTAGGTTGAGGAGTTTTTTGGTAGAGTCTACAGGGTTTTCTATGTACACTATCATGTCATCTGCAAACAATGATAGCTTTACCTCCTCCTTTCCTATTTGGATGCCTTTTATCTCTTTCTCTTGTCTGACCGCTGTGGCTAGGACTTCCAATACGATGTTGAAAAGAAGCGGTGAAAGCAGACATCCTTGTCGTGTTCCCGATCTTAGTCGGAAAGCTTTCAGTTTTTGTCCATTGAGTATGATATTGGTTGTAGGTTTTTCATATATGGCCTTTATTACATTGAGGAATGCCCCATTGATTCCCATTTTGCTGAGTGTTTTGATCATAAATGGGTGCTATACCTTATCGAATGCTTTTTCTGCATCTATCGAGATGATCATGTGGTTTTTGTCTTTTATTTATGTGATGTATCACGTTTACTGATTTGCATATATTGAACCATCCCTGCCTTCCGGGGATGAATCCCACTTGATCGTGGTGGATAACCTTTTTAATGTATTGCTGGATGCAGTTTGCCAATATTTTGTTGAGGATTTTAGCATCTATGTTCATCAGCGAAATTGGCCTGTAGTTTTCTTTCTTTGTAGGGTCTTTATCTGGTTTTGGGATCAGAGTGATGCTGGCCTCATAAAAACAGTCTCGGAGTCTTTCCTCCTCTTGGACTTTTTGGAATACTCGGAGAAGGACAGGGGTTAGCTCTCCCTTAAATGTTTTGTAAAATTCTCCCGTGAAAATGTCCGGCCCTGGGCTTTTGTGTGTTGGGAGTTTCTTGATGACTGCTTCAATTTCCCCAGCTGTTATCGGTCTGTTCAAGCTTTCTGTTTCTTCCTCCTTCAGTGTTGGAAGATTATACTTTTCTAAAAATTTGTCCATTTCATCCAGGTTTTCAAATTTCTTGGCATATAATTGTTCATAGTAGTTTCTGACGATCCTTTGTATTTCTGTGGTATCAGTTGTTATTTCTCCTCTTTCATTTCTGATATTATTAATTTGGGTCCTCTCCCTTTTTTTCTGGATGGGAGAAAAAATCTACTTAACCAGTACTCTACTTAACCATCTACTTAAACCAGTCCTCTTAGCATATCTTGGAGTGCTAGTTTGGTAGAGATATATTCTTTTAGTCTTCTCTTGTCTGGGAAACTCCGTATTTCCCCTTCTATTTTAATGGAGAGCCTAGCTGAGTAGAGCAGCGTTGGCTGTAGGCCTTTGCTTTTCATGACTTGGAATATTTGTTACCATTCCCTTCTGGCTTGAAGTGTTTCTGTTGAGAGGTCAGCTTCTAGGCGTATCGGTGCCCCCTTGTATGTTACTTTCTCCTTCTCCCTTGCTGCCTTGAGGATTCTCTCTTTGTCTTTGACAGTGCCATTTTAATGATGATGTGTCTTGGAGTGGACCTCTTTCAGTCCCTCTTGAGTGGGGTCCTCTGTGCCTCCTGGATCCACGAGAGCCTTTCTCTCATCAAATTAGGGAAATTTTCCATCATTACTTTTTCGAGGAAGTTCTCTATCCCTTGCTCCTCTTCTTCTCCTTCTGGTATCCCTATTATACGGATATTATTGCATTTCAGGTTGTCCTGCATTTCCCTAAATGCCTCTTCATTTTTTTTGAGTATTTTTTCCATTTCTTGTTCTTTCTGGGAGCTTCTTTCTACCTTATCCTCCATCTCACTGATTCGATCCTCGGCTTCATCCTGCCTGCTTTGGATCCTTCTACTGTGTTCTTCAATTCAGAAATGGTGTTCTTCGTATCCTCTTGTGTCTTCTTGATAGTTTCTATGTCCTTTTCCAGGTTGATATAGTTTAGTTTAAGATCCTGGTAGTTTCTCTGCAGTTTCTCATAGTTCTCTTTGAGCTGGCTGAGCTCATGGAGCTTCCTTAGAACCATTGTTTTGAATTCCATATCTGATAGTTCCCTTGCCTCTATTTCATTTAGCTCTCTCTGTGGGGAGTCCCCTATTCCACTCATTTGGGGGGAACTTCTTTTTCTTCCCATTTTTGTGAGAGTCTGTTATGTAATTTACTTATATTTGCTTCTGCTTCAATTGGGCTGTCTGGATTTCCTGACTTTGTGGATTAAACTTCTGTGATTGTAGGTGGGTCTTATTTATTTATTTATTTATTTATTTATTTATTTATTTATTTTTCCCTTTATTTTTCTTTCTGGGCCTGCCTCTCATGATTTCAGTTGTTGACTTTGTAGGACCTTGGGTTGTTTGTTTGAGCCTTCCAGGAGTCTACTGTCTGTGTCTGACTCCTGCTTGGAGCAGCTCTGTGACCCCTTCGGTCAGGGCTGGACTATATTTTGGGATCGCTCTGCACTCTCATGCCGGCTCCTTGATCGCACTCCCCTGTCCGGCAGGATACCCCGCCTGCTTGGGCTCTCGTGTGCTTTTCCCAGCCCAGGGGGCTTATTTGCCACCTCGCATACTCATCTGGCCCCCCTGGCCGGCGAGCTCCCCGGCACTGGTCAGTTTAGGGTCTTCTATTGTGTGTTTTCCCCGCTTTTGGCTCTTTGGGTGCGTTGCTTGCCCTCGCCAAATGGAGACTACGGAAATGGGAGGAAGTCAGCTCCAGGACTCTCCGGTTAATCCTGTCTCTGGTCTCTCCTCCAGGGACTCTGGGCAGCTCTGTGACCCCTTCGGCCCGGGATCTACTAATTTTGTGAGCCACTCTGCAATCGCGGGCCGGGCGGGTCATTTACGCCTGCCTTGCCCCTCTGTGCACTCCCTCACAGGCCATATCGGTGCCAATCTGTGGGAGGCCTTGCTGGCCGGTGCAAGCGTTCGGCAGCCCGCGTGGGTCACACACACGCTCGCCAACCCTTGCCAGTCACTCGGCGCAAGTGTGCGCGCCTGCACTAGGTGGTTTTGGTGTATCTATGTGTGCTTTTCGGCTTTTGGCTCTTTGGGGGTGTGGCCTCTTCCCGCACAATGAAGAGTACGGCAAGGAGAAGGAATGGGGACTCCCCTGTTCCTCCTCCTGTTCTTTTCCCAACGCCTCCATTTCTAGTCTCTCCTCAGGGGTCTCTGGGCAGTTCTGTGACCCGTTCGGCCAAGGATCCACCCCCTGTGCAGACTGCGTATCAATCGCGGGCAATCTGGTTGGTGTGCGCCCCGTTTCTGCCTCTTTGGGGGCGTGCCTTTCCAGCCCACAATGGAGACTACAGAACGGGGAGGGAGTCCGAACTCTCTGGTTCCTCCTCCTGTTCTTTCCCCAACACCTCCGTCTCCAGTCTCTCCCCAAGGCTCTCCCAGCTATTCTGCACTTAGCCCCCCAGCTCACATGCACACAAGTTGTATGCAGAGCGCACAAAAGGCAGGTTAACTGATTCCCTTATGCCTGAGTGAGATGGTAGCTGCAGAGTGGGAGGTGTGTTATCACGGGGCTCCACCGGCTGCCGTGTCAGTTCTCTTCACAAAGTTTTCCTTACCAGTCTTTTCCCAGGCACCAGCCCACCCTGCTGCGACCTCTACCCAGAGGTGAAGAAGGGTGGCTACCACTGCAATTTTTGCGTTGGCCCTTTAAATGTCTCTTTGAATCCCCAGCCACCTGTCTCTGGTAGAGAGTGCCCCTAAGCTTTTCGGGATTACGTTTTGTCTGTATTTTCTTGGTTTTAGCTGCTGTAGTTTAGGGGTCCCTCTTTATGGTTCAGACCCCGTTCTTCTTGGGGGAAGCTAACTGGCCGTTTCAATGTTCCTCTGGTGCTAGTGCCCGTGGGCACCCAACCCACCGTCTCAAGCCTCCACCGCACTTCTCACCCACTCCCACTGGGATGTGCGAGAGTCGAATCCACTGTCCGCGGCTCCAAGGCTCCTCTCCCACTATCATTCCATTGTTTTCCCGGTGATTATTCCACTATTTAGTCGCAATTCCAGTTTGGTCTTGGGAGGAGATCAGCATGACTCCCATTCACTCCTTTGCCATCTTCTCTCTCCTGATTGCCTCACTATTTGGCCAAACGCTTGATAAAACATTATATGGTCTGTTATTTTTTCACTAACGAAACATCTCTTCTCTGACTCTCCTTGTTTTTCCATATTCCCTTTTTAGGAGAGAAGCCTTATAAATGCACCTGGGATGGCTGCTCCTGGAAATTTGCTCGCTCAGATGAGCTTACCCGCCATTTCCGCAAGCACACAGGCATCAAGCCCTTCCGGTGCACAGACTGCAACCGTAGCTTTTCCCGCTCTGACCATCTGTCCCTGCACCGCCGGCGCCATGACACCATGTGAGCTCCACAGTCTGCAACAGAAGAGCTGTGCTGGTCTCATTCCTGTGTGTGTACTGAGGTCATCAGCATCTTTTCCGCATTGACTTCAGCTTGCCTCTGGGATGGGGTTGGAGCAGCTCACTGAGCCAGGTTGATGAGACTGCTTTTCCATGGGGGCTCCTCATATTCCATCCTCACCTCTCCACCATCCATTCCCCAGTTTTATCAACCAGCACATAGGTTGAACAAAAGTGCGGCACCCATGGTCAGATATGGGACATTTTTCCTACAATAACAAAACAGGAATCCAATTCAAGGCTGTGAACAAATATATGCTGCTTTTTCCCCCCTGTTTTTCCCCAAGAATTCTTATCCAAATTATTTTTTTTGAATCAGTACTTAAATGTGGTTGGTAACATTTTAAAACACAACTTTCCCTCCCAAGTTCCTAGACAGAAGAGGACATAACAGTGTACTTCGTTGCTAGAATGGATTTGGGTCCTGAGCATAGGACACATTCTCAGTAAATAAACTGAGTCCCATACAAAACATAAAGGTTTTGTAAATCCAGTCCTATTTGTTCTTACAGTTTGGTTTTCAGACAGTGCAGGTGCTTCTGCTTCCTAAGTCCATCAGAGGAAATGAAGGGATCTTCTTGTCCGTCTCCTTCTCATTTTTCCTTCTCTTTATCCTTCAAGATTAAAGATTATACAGCACAATAACATTGTTTGTTAGGTTAAATATTTGTTAGGACAAATATTCAAAGCACACATCAACATGCCAGTAGGGTGAAAAGTGTTTCAGGAGAGTATGTTGGACTGTGAAAGGAAGAAGCAGAACTAGAATAATCCTGAAAACAAACAGAGGAGGAATTTCATTTGGATAAGATACTGAAAGTGCTGTGATCACAAACCTCATTCATAGGGCAGCCTGTTGAGACAATGTCTTGAGGGGCTACACTGTACTGTTTATTCTTTTGTTTACATAAAGCAACTATTATGAGTATAATGCATGATGAGAAATCATACACTGGGGCCATGTTATAGAAAGGTAAGGGATTGTAGAAAAAATATTTCTTCATTCCATGGCATTATTAGCATGCACTCCTATGTTTCAATTGGAATATAAGAGGCTTTTAGTGAAAACTGAAATACAAAAAGCTACTCAATGTTCTGCAACTGCTATGAACACCTAAGCCATTTCTTTTAGCCATACAGCATGTTGCATAATATAAACATTTGGTTACCAAATCCTACTATTTCATAATAGTCTCTGAGACATAATACCTTGTGTTCTCAGCTCTGGACTTCAGATCTACCTCCACATGGCATATTTCCTCTCTCTGGAGGGAAGGGGAGATTGCATCACTTAACTTTAGATTAGCCTCTCTCCTAAAGGTTGTCTTCATATGGAACCCCTTTTCCTTGGCAGACATGCAACCCGTCCCTGCTTAAATACTTTAGGTTACTACCTCCCAAGATTTATCCATTCTGAATAAATCATATAATTCTAGCACCAATAAGGGATACTATTAACGATCTAGTCTTACGTATCATTCATATTTTACAGATGAGAGAAATACGGGTCAGATACTTTCTCCAGATTTTTCCTTGAGGCCTTATAAACCTGCACACACATTCTTCCAGGGATCACATTATTAAACCAAATTAGAGAAAACTTTACGTGATTGGTTGCAGTATTTGTCCAATTTTATATGTTATGCTTCAGAAAACTTTAGACCACTCACAAAATTATTTACAGTTGATTAAATACTAAGTGAAGTGTGCCTGTGGTCATCGACATAAAGGTTAGGCACATAATTTTTCTCTTCTAACACTTTCTATACTATCTCAGAATTGATTTACCTCACTTAAACATACAATGTCCAGATCATAAACCTTTATAAATTCAAGGCCTGCCTGTATTTTTTCAAAGTGACACGTGGATTTTTATTATTCTTGTTGTTATTTTGATATAGATTTTCCCTTGACTTTTGGTGTGTAAGTTTCACACTGCAGACTGAAAGGGGACTTTTATGTAGCTCTAAGATAGATTGTAAAAGGTAAGTTACCATCATACATACTGGTTTAACCTTATAATTCAGCAGTTGATACAGTATTTCACAGTATAGTCCAAGGACTTATCCATTTTCTCCAGAGTTTGCATCCTGAGACTCCCTTTTCCAGAGTTCACAACTACCTTGTGCTCCCCAGACATCAGGATCTTTTGCATTGGAGCACATACTCTATTAATAAATAAACAATATTAAACATAGTATTATACTAACTATAATGATCAAATTAAAGTTCCAAATATTGACATCCCTGACACCTCTAAGATTTTATTCAATTCTTTTTCCTGCAAAGTAATGAGGGACTCTTTACTGCTTTATTAATTGTCTACAGTCAATTAATTTTAATCCAATTCTCATTGCTCTCTCCCCTCCAAATAATGATAAAATGATTCCAATCATTACATATTAAGTAATGTGTGAAAATTTATTAAGAGTATTTAAGTCCTGGCTGGTGTGACTCAGTGGACTGAACGCTGGCCTGCAAACCAAGGGGTCTCCGGTTTGATTCCCAGTGTAGGGTGCATGCCTGGGTTGTAGGCCAGGTCCCCAGCAGGGGGCGTGTGAAAGGCAACCACACATTGATGATTCTCTCCCTCTCTTCCCCTCTCTAAAAAGATAAATAAAATAGAATCTTTTAAAAAAAGAGTATTTCATAGTGTACAGGGATTTAAATACAGTATAATATAGTACTGCACCAAAAGCATATAGAATTTTGTTAGACAGTAAGACTAAAAGGAACTGTATCTCTTAAGTGGCATTTAGGATTCATTGAACATGCTATGCCCACATCAGCAAAGCACCATTGTGTGGATAGTTGCCTAAGGTATGAAAAATGGCCTTGTTTGATGTGGTTGGATAATATCCTGAGATTTGTTGGAGTGGAGTTCCTTCATCTGTAGATGCTTTTCAGTTGAACATAACTATTGATAATTATGATTGGAAAATTCAGGAAAAGCTGAAGAATGTCAATTGGCTGTATAGATTAGGTGGAATGAATTGTGGGTAAGATAAAAAGGTTTGTGAGGGCAACTTATTTTTATGTAAAATGTTCATTTTGGAACAGTTGTAGATACAAAGAAAAATTATAAAGATTCTACAGAGAGTATCCCTATACCCTACATCCAGATTTCTTCTATTTTTCACATCTTTCATTAGTATGGTGCATTAGCTATAATTAATAAAGTGATATTGATACATTATTAACTCAAGTCCAAATATTCAAATTTCCTTAATTTTAACCTAATATCTTTTTGTGTGTGTGTGTGTTCCAGCATCCCATTCAAGACACTATATCACATTTAGTGCTTATATCTCCTTAGGCTTCTCTTGATTGTGGTGGTTTCTCAGGTTTTCCTCTTTTCCTATGACTTAGAGTTTTGAGGAGTATGTCCCTCAACTGAGATTTGTCTGACTATTTTTCTCATGATTAAACTGATGTTATGGCTTTTTGGGAGGAAGACCATAAAGATAAACTGCTACTTTCATTATATCACATTAACATGACTTATACCCTTGATGTTAACCTTCTTTACCTGGCTGAGATAGTGTTTTGTCAGCTTCCTCCTTGTACTCTCTACCCCATATTCTATACTGTACTCTTTGGAAGGAAGTCACTATGTGCAGCCCACACCGAAGGCGTGGTAAGTTGTGCACCGTATCCTTCAGTGTGTCTACAAAAATTATTTGGGATTCTGCATGGGAGATTAGACTTTTCTCCCTCATTTATTTATTTATGCAATCATTTACTTGTATCAGTATGGACTCACATTCACTTTATACATTGCGTTATAATCCAATAAAATTTTACGTTGTAAGTTCAAATTGTTCCAGCTTTGGCCATTGGGTGCTCTCTTGGGTTGACTCCTAAGTCCTTTTGACAGACCCTCATCATTTTTTTTTTTTAGCTTATACTTGCTTGCTGGCACTACCAGTTGCTCCAGGATCATCTTGTATATATATTGTTTTAGCCCACTTCTATAATCAGCTCTTTCTTTAAGGAGTCCTGATTCCTCTTAATGGAAAATTGTATTAGAAACCAACATCTGGGTATTAGGTATGCTTGTTGCTCCTGAGGTATTGTTGCTTCTAGGCCATCTTCACTAACTGAGCGACAAAATATATGTGTGTACACTAACTCATGTATAAATACACATATCTACGAATATTTCTATATGTAATCTCCCATATGTTTATTAAGCTAACTGTGAGTTCATACTGATGTGTCCAATGCCAATCCATTATCAAATGGGTCATTCTAGCCTTTTCCCTTTGCTTATCTGTAATCTTCCACTCAAACAGTGAGAAAACTGGCACCTACACTCTGACATCTAGTTGCTTAATTGTGCAATTCTAGTATAAATGTATAACAGTATTTGAATTTTTAATGCATACACTGTGGATACAACTAGAACACAGTGCTTATGTGTATGGTAGTAACATTTAAAAACTCCAAAAGCTCTTTGAAACAAAGTGATCTGCAAAATTTAGAAATTAGGGAATTCTATGATCTTGGTTCCAGGAACTTGGGGTTCTATCCTGCCTGCAAAAAGTTTCCTCAAGAAACAAACAATTGGGAATTGACCTAACCTTGAATAAACCTAGGGAAATTATTGATCCTCCATAGTGTGCTAATACCTGTATAGACAGATGGACACAGAAGAAAGTGGATGTGTCCAGCTTAAAGAAAAATTTAACATTATCCTTTCTCACTGGCAAATACTGCTCTCTGACAATAAGGGTGCTACCCTAAGTTACCTCTCTTCCATTTTTTCCATATCTCACTTGGTTGACCTTAGGCAAGTCACATCACCTCTCTGTGCCTCAGTTAACCCATCTATAAAAATAGGGATCTAAATATCTACCTCACAGGAATGTTGTGAGGATTCTTATTAATGGATGTGGGCAAAAATGATGGGAGATACTTAAATGAATAAAAAGTATTATGATCA